GTTCTCACCAGGATTTATTATGAGCATAGCGGGGATAATGATGCATTCACATCATATGCATATTATAGGTACATCAACATTAGCAGGACAGAAATGGATTAAAAAGTACTCCAAATATATTCAAAACTCAGGATACATTTTCTAGTGTTCCATTCTTATTTCTTTTTAGTAAAAGAAATGAATGAAAGGAAATCAAGCCTGACTTAGGTGAAAGAGAGGGGTGATATCTACTCACGCGTGCTTCTATTTTTTGTTTTTCCTACTTGCACTCATTTATTTTTCTGTGTTCCTGAATCCAGAAAACCTAAAACTGTCATTGTTTCAAAGTCCATCAAGTTTATTTAAAGTAAGAAGATAAAAACTTCAGTTAAGAAATCAAAGCAAGTTTGCTGCAGTATGATTATCTGTTTTGAATCTGTCTGGTTTAAGGAGCAGCTTGAATTTGATCATATTCACAAACTAATAAACGACACATGAATGAGACATCAAACCTGTTGAGTCCTAAATTAACATCTTGGTATAGCTACAGCTCTTATTTTGTGTCAAAATATGTCACTGATACCGATAACTTTTGTTTCGGCACAGAGGGTTGCAGTTTTCCTGTTCATCTTTTTATGCTGCCTTACTCAGGGTTTCCACAGGTCATTAAATATCATTAGATTTTTGTTTTTTAAATTAACCTTTAATTGGCATTAAAATTAATTAAATGTTATTAATGTGGCATTTAAAATGCTTGATTTATAATATATATATATTATTATAAAAGAATTTCGTCTGATATTTTATATTTTAATATATTTGCGCGGAACTGCTTCTGAATGATCGTAAAGCCGTATGTTTGGAAAAGAAGCTTGAGGCGGAAAAAAGCTAAAAAAAATGGGGGAAATGCAAATTTCAACAAAAGTGTCTGGAAAATGAGGAATTTGGGACATGGCATTACATTTATTTCTAAGAGCTTTAAAAGCATTAAATTAGAGTTACTCATTCCTGTATAAACCCAGTTACTGTCATTATCCACTGAACAACCGGTCGCTCACCAGAGTTAAATAAAAAATCTTGCCTGCTGATTCCTATCTGTATTACTAGCTTAGAGTTAAACATGTCCATGTCTCCATCATCAGGCTGTGGTAGATGCTGTGCTCACCATCTCTAAACCTGGGGAACCCATTGACCTGTACATGGTGGAAATCATGGAGATGAAGCATAAGACTGAGAGCGACACACAGTAAGTTTTACCACATGGAACAGATGTCATTTCCATTTGATTTAGGAAAACAAATCTAAATAGTCTTTTTTTATTTTTTCTCCCAGACTGATCAAAGGTTTGGTGCTGGATCACGGAGCCAGACATCCAGACATGAAGAAGAGGGTGGAGGACGCTTTCATTCTAACATGCAACGTCTCTCTGGAGTACGAGAAGACAGAGGTCAACTCTGGCTTCTTCTACAAGAGCGCTGGGGAGAGGGAGAAGCTTGTGGCTGCAGAGAGGAAGTTCATCGAGGAGCGCGTGCAGAAGATCATCGACTTGAAGAAGAAAGTCTGTCCCAATGACGACAAGGGCTTTGTTGTCATCAACCAAAAGGTACCGTTCAGGAGGGTTTCAGGTGTTTAACATTTACATTCTGTGCAGAGTCACCATGTTTTTGTCATTATTGGCTTCAGTGTGTTAATCTATCTGCACTTTGTGAAAGATCTGAGGCTGAATTAAAGTGCACAGTGAACACCCATGGGTGCTAACGTAGCTCCCCCTGGTCTCCTGTATCTGTGCCACAGTAACTCTGATCTGTACCTCTGCATCAGNCATCAACCAAAAGGTACCGTTCAGGAGGGTTTCAGGTGTTTAACATTTACATTCTGTGCAGAGTCACCATGTTTTTGTCATTATTGGCTTCAGTGTGTTAATCTATCTGCACTTTGTGAAAGATCTGAGGCTGAATTAAAGTGCACAGTGAACACCCATGGGTGCTAACGTAGCTCCCCCTGGTCTCCTGTATCTGTGCCACAGTAACTCTGATCTGTACCTCTGCATCAGGAGAGCCTGCTCCTCTCCTGCATGTATTCAGCGGATCAGAACAGTCCTTCCATCCCTGAAGGTAGTTTATTGATTTAATTAACAATGGTAAACTGAGCCCTTCTCTCTGGTTTGGTCAGGGCATCGATCCATTCTCCCTGGACGCTCTCGCTAAGGAAGGAATAGTCGCCCTGCGCAGAGCCAAGAGGAGGAACATGGAGAGGTAAGATGAATAGGGAACAAATAATGGATCTTAGATTTGGTGCACATGTTTTTTCATAGTCTGGGAAATACAGAAGTAGAATTTAGCATTTTGCAAAAAGGAATATTTAAGGGAAAATGGAGGAAATTGGCTTTAAAGACCCTTTTCCTCTCTTTTATTCAGCAAATTAACCCTGTTAAATTATTGTTCTTACCTGTCCTTTCACTTTGACTAACACCATTAAAAAAAATGTTGACCCAAGTCCTGTGTTAGGGAACCTGGTCTGGTTTAAATGTCTTGATTTAAGAGAAATTAACCAAACTTTTTGCTATTTCCCAAAACTCTGGTCTTGTCCTTGATGTCTTACCTGCTAATTCCTTATGGAGGACCAATCCTGCCATAATTAAAAGTAAATACAGAAATGCATAAATTCTCCAAAAATAAATAAGCATGCAATAATTGCCCCTCAAAAATACAATAAATAAATAAATGCAGGTAGAAATTAAATTATACAGTGACACATACATGTGTATATCTCTTTTAATTAGCTTTTTTTTCGCCTTTGTAATTACCTTATTTATTTATTTATTTATTGTCTGTAATAATCTTCAACTTTATCTATTTATTGCTTATTTTTTTAAGTATTTACTTATTTGCATGATATAATATTTTTGTCTGTATTATCTCTTTGTATTTTTTTACCCTATTTATTTCTGCCTTCCGTATTTACATTTTTGTCTGCATTTCTGCCTCATTATGCAAATAAATAAGGTAATTATTGCAGAAGCGAATAAGATTAAAAGAGATGTATACATTTATGTCTCACTGTATAATTTAATTTCTACCTACATTTATTTATTGTTTTTTGGGGGGGCAATTAATTGTATGCTTATTTATTTATTGACCATTTTTTTTATTTCTGTATTTTTAATTATGGCAGGATTGGTGCTCCATAATTCCTATTTTGATTGATTCCTTTATTCTGAAAGATTAATCAAAGTAAAAAAAAAAAAAAAAAAAGTAATAATCCAACAGAGAAAGAATGACTAAATTATCCCCAGTTATGTATATTGTTGTCCTTCCTAACCATTTCTTCTCTCTGAAGATGGTTGGGAGATGTAGCATTTTATTAATGGGTAAAACAAAAAATATTTTTGTGTATTTGACCTTTCTGTCAGAGCTAATTAGAGAATGACAGGAATTCATAAGGTAATCCCTGTCTCTTGTAAGTTTTTATTTATTTCTTTTAACTTACTAAATAGTTTTAACAAAAAAAAAAATGGCACATAAAGTAAATTGTGCTTTAAGGAAATGCAATCCACACTTTGTCTAAATATTATAGCTCTAAGTTAGTTCAAATAACATAGCTTTACCTTTTTGCTGAATCAAAGCCAACTTCTTTTTTATTTTATTTTTATTTATTGAATTCATAGAGGATAAAAATTTACATTGTTTGGTCCAAAATCTTAGTGAAATGAGATGAAGTGTAAAACATGTAGAAACCCTGAATGAATCTTGTTTTTTCCAGACTCACCCTTGCTTGCGGTGGCAACGCCATGAACTCTGTTGATGACCTCACACCTGACTGCTTGGGTCACGCTGGGCTGGTTTATGAACACACATTAGTGAGTATCCAGCTCAGTTCCCCTTACTGCTGAAGGTTGAAAAAATATGTTTTCTGTAAAAATCAAGTGTTATTTTCTTTCCTCCCTTGTTTAAGGTCTCTAGACCAAGCTGATTAAAGCTGTTGATTTTTTATTTTATTTTACAGGGGGAGGAGAAATACACGTTCATAGAGAAGTGTGGGAACCCTCGCTCAGTTACACTGCTGATAAAAGGTCCTAACAAACACACCCTGACGCAGATCAAAGACGCCGTGAGGGATGGTCTGCGCGCCGTCAAGAACGCCATCGAAGACGGTAACAAACCTGCATGATTAAAATGTTTTCCCAGCATTATATGGAACCCAGAACTTTCTAGAAGCATTGACTTGTGCAAAGCCCTGTTGCAATATGACAGTTTTAGATATAACATTGGAGTCTGTTTACTTATTATCTTGTTTTCTTCTTGTTTTTTTGTAGAGTAACTTTATTTTTATCAAGCCATATTTATTGCAATGTTATTAATATGCAATGTTATCAATAAAGTGGTTACAAATAAAAAGCCAATTAGTTCAAACCAAATTACCTGGTTCCACAGTAAAGTTATTTATGGTAAAACCTTTTATTTACTGGTTTGTTCACAGCTCTCTCCATTGATCCTTCTGTCTTCAGGTTGCGTTGTGTCAGGTGCTGGTGCGCTTGAGGTGGCTTTGGCAGATGCTCTGGTAAAACACAAGCCCAACGTGAAAGGCCGAGCCCAGCTAGGAGTCCAGGCATTTGCAGATGCTCTTCTCGTGATCCCCAAGGTGACCCTGCTGACTCTTTTTGCAAATAAACATTCTTCACATCATGTTTTCTGCAGTCCTCCTCTCTAATCCAAGCTGGGTAAAAATCATTTGCAGGTTTTGGCCCAGAACTCTGGCTATGACCCTCAGGAGACCCTGCTGAAGCTGCAGACAGAGTACAAAGAGTCTGGTCAGCTAGTCGGAGTCGACCTCAGCACAGGTGATCATCACAAGGTCCACAATATCTAATCCTGTTAACAGGATGAACGGTTTGTGCACAAGAGAAGAGCACTTTTAAATAAGATCCTGTTTTCAGGTGAGCCGATGGTGGCTGGAGAGGCAGGCGTTTGGGATAACTACAATGTTAAAAAACAGCTTCTCCATTCATGGTAAGGATGCTTTACTAGGCTCCATTTCGGCCTCCTGACTGATTTCCATCCCTCTAACACGTTTTATGTTTACAGCACGGTGATTGCCAGCAACATCCTGTTGGTGGATGAGATCATGCGAGCTGGAATGTCTTCTCTGAAAGGTTAAAGAAGAGCCGCTGTACTTGTACTCCAGTGATAGTTGTTTACCTGACGGTTCAGTCAAGGCGGCCCGGCTCTGGTCCGTCTGAAGCACCCCCTCATCAATGGCCAGCCCACTGAGCAAACCCTGCGGCGAGCCGTCTTAGCATTCGCCAGAAATCATCGTTCACCTGCTCGTTTTTTTTTTTTTTCCATGATTTCTGCCCCCCCACCTCTCTGGAACGATTGGTTTATTTATGCTACTTTGTTAAAAGCACTGATCTCTGCAGTTCTGTTTCGGTCTATTAAAAAATGTTCTCGGCCTGCAAGATCTGCTTGTTTCTTATTTCAAGAGTTGATTAAATGAAAATTCCTTGGTTCCTTAAGAGAGTTTAAATCAAATCCCAGTTAGAAGACTGGAACGAGTCTAAGGTTTAAAACTAAGCCAAGCTGGAATGTGGCTAGAAATATGGTTTCCTCATAAATTGTTAAAACGTATTTGGTGATCTTTATATAGGCAGTAATAATTTATTATTAAAAGTCTTTTGATAGAGAAAACAGTGTAATTGGAAAATAACTTTCAAACCTGTTTATGATCATATTTAAAAGCTGAATGACTTAAAGCAGATAGCAGAGTAGGCCTACAAATCTTTTAAAAATGAAGTGTTTACAAAAAAACAGACCATACTATATTTTTGTTTCTTTTAATCCAACATTAGAGCACATAATTGAACCTGGCTGAAAAGCACATTTGTTAAAATGGTTAAAGAACAAAAAATTGACACAAAGTTATATTTTAACCACCTTAAGGTGAAACATGGGATTCGTGTTAGTTAATTTAGACTCATAACTATTGGGTGCTAACATTTAAAACAAGATTAAGAAAATAAGGAATCAAAAAGTAAATTCTTTAAAAAACTGGCAAATTTTCAAAATCATGTACGACGGCTTTAAAATTCTGTGAGATTAAAGGGAATTTTTCAAGATAAAGATGTTTGGAAGCTGGTTTAAAAAGCACACAATTCATGCAATATTATATAACATTGAGAAAATATTTTTTTTATTAAAAGTCCTATTTCCTTCTGTGTCCCTAAATCAACACTTTATATTAAACCCCTATCTAAATTATGTTTATCCTCCATATGTCTGAGTTTCAATATAGATTTTAAGAATAGTTGCATAAAATATCAGTGAATGTTAGTCCCTGACTTTAAACTGCACTACATAGACCTTTTTTGCAACTTTATATCAACAATTATTCTAAAGCAGAAGTTTTCAACATTTCCCAGGCTAAGGACCCCCAAACTGATGGTGAGATGGAGCGGGGCCCCCTAATTGTATATAATATATGAAATTGTGTTATATCAAACTGGTCCCTATAGTCACTCTATTACATATGGAGTAATGTAGTGAAAGTAATTTCGCCCTGGGATTATTAAAGTATTTCTGATTCTGATTCCCGGTTGATGGGACAGGTGTGGTGAATGAAACGGTGTCCAGCTTGAAAGTGCTCCTGTGTGTCGTTGAATGTATGCATTGATGACTGAAAGACATCTGCCTCCATTTATCCGTTTACTACAGTGTGACTCCATCCTGGAGAGAAATATCTGATGTGCTGCTGCCATCAACACCTTTGGTTATAGATGTTGGAGATCGGCCTGTTCTTCCAGTGTAGTCCTGTTTCTCTTGCTGTGGCAGTCTGGATGTTTTGTCTTTATCCTCTGACATGGGAGGTGGCTCAGAGTTTGTCTGCCTGGCTGTGTGTTGCCTGTATGTGGCCACCCTTTACAGTTGCCTTTTGTATCTGCTTCTGTCTCCTTGAACCCCAGTCAGCCTCAGCAGATGGCCACTCACACTGAGCCTGGTTCTGCTGGAGGTTTCTTCCTGTTAAAAGGGAGTTTTTCCTCTCCACTGTCGCTCAAGCATGCTTAGTGTGAGGGATTGCAGAAGAGTCAATGAATTGATGCAATCAACTGGTTTTCATTAGATAGAAAACTTTGAATCAATCTGACTGTATGATCTGGTCAACTGTAAAGTACCTTGAGATGAAATGTGAGTTGACGCTATATAAAGACATTTCAATTTGTGGAAAAACAACTGCAGCGGGGTAATATAAAAAAAAGTCCAATCAACCAAAACTTTCGTGCCCCCATGCAGTACCTCAGTGGGGCCCCTAGGGGTCGCGGACCCTCTGTTGAAGACCTTCGCTCTAAACGTTTGTTGAAAGTAATAAAATTAAAATAGAAAAGTAATATTTCAATCGATCCACTAAATGATTGTTTTGTCCTTAATTCTGATTAAATACCGTTTAATAAAGTACTTTATTCATTTAAAGCATTAAAATCAAATTTTTGTTTTTGTATTTAGTTAAAAAATCTTTGTATGTTAGCGGAACCTTCTAACACGGGACTTTTTTCAAGTCGCACAGATTTTCGAGTGGTCGGAAATGAAGAATAAATACAATAAATAAACACGTTTTTAGTGGTGAATCTGAGCCCAATAGTTAAATGTTAAACTTTGATGTTTGCTTTTGACTTTGGCTGTTAGAAACTGTGAAGGATGGACGTTTCCTGGATATTTGCTGTGGTTTTACTGCCGAACTTAATGGGTACGACCTCTTACAAAACATTTAAATGTTAACTGGATAAACTTTTATTAGAACGAGGCTGTTTTCCTCCCCACAGCTGCGGAGGAGGTGGTGAACATCCCCGGGGGGAGGCTGCTGATGGGAAGCAGCGCAGCGGACGGCAGAGACGGAGAGTCCCCGGTCAGAGAGGTGGAGGTGCTGCCCTTTACAATAGATAGATATCCGGTCACTAATTCTCTTTTCAGGTAATATTACCCAAAATATAACATTAAGTTGGATCATATCTAAGTTAAAAACATACAGCAGTGCTAAAATAGATTTTATTTTGTTTTTTCTTCAACAACAGAGACTTTGTACGAGCTGAGAAATATAAAACTGAAGCTGAGACATTTGGATGGAGTTTTGTCTTTCAGGATTTTGTCTCTGATGAACTGAAAAGCAAAGTTACTCAGAGGATCGAGGTGAGAAAGAACCCAGCTACCCTGAAAGGGTTAAGTTTCTTAAACTTATCCTGTGTTTGTGGTGTCAGCACTGCAGCAGACCCCTCCTCTATGCTGGTGAAGGTTCTCAGTCATCCAGGTCATAGTCATTCCAAAAAATTAAAAAAAAATCCACTGAACTTGGTTTCCAAATTTGAAGACTTTTCGCTTCCCATCCAGAAAATTTTTTTAATGCAAAATGTCAGCAATAGGGTTGAGTTCGAGGTTTTATACAGTAGCCCAAACATGCAAATTGCAGAAGATGAAAATATCAAATTCCAACAAAAGTGTCTGGAAAACGAGGAATTCAGGACATGGCTGCAGTCTGTAATTAATTAATGTGAGATTCAACTTATTTCTGTAACCATTGTTGGTTTGTCTTTCATTAAACGAGGGGTACCAACAATTTTTTCCACGTGTGTATAAATATTTGCATAATATTAAGCATGATTCCAGAATTTCATTCGAAGGAAAAAAGACATTCAATTCAGGCTTTGATTGGCTAGATGGGGACAGCAAATAATAATTCAGAGGGCCACTAACGGCCCTCAGACCATACATTTGAGATTCCAGCTTTATTTTTTGTTCCTGTCTCTGTTATCCAGTCTGCCCCCTGGTGGTTGCCCATTGAACGAGCATTTTGGAGACAGGTAAGCCAGCATGTTTATGGGCATTTCACAAAACAAGCCTCCCTCCTTATTACCTTTGTTCAGCCTGCAGGGCCCGATTCAGGCATCCGGGAGCGCCTGGACTTCCCGGTGGTTCAGGTGAGCTGGAACGATGCGCAAGAGTTCTGCAGATGGAAAGGAAAGAGACTGCCCACAGAGGAGGAGTGGGAGTGGGCTGCCCGTGGGGGGCTGCAGGGTAAACCTCCACACTCATCACTGAACATGAAAGAGCTCAACAGAGTTTGAGATCATTACAGCATTGTGTTTTATTTACTTTTAAAATGACAGCAGCCACAAGGATCTTATGAGTTGTGTTGAAGTGATTAAAGCTGCAGGACGTCGTCCCCTCTGGACTGAAGTTTGACACCCATGGAATGGAGCATTTGATTAGTTCACCTCCAAAGCAAATCAATACATTAGAGAGTGATCAATGATTGTAGCATCCGTGTAGTTCCACCTAAATTGGATTAATAGGCACCATTTTTATTGACATGGGGACATTTAAAAACCAACTCATGCATTCGGTTGCTTGATCTACACTTGTAGCAGTGAACAAGCCAAGAAAAGTACGCCAAGATATCAGGAAGTGTTTTTAGATACACCATATATAACACAGGTCATATTTTAGAATGAGAGGCATTTTTTACTGTGAATGATTTTCCTGTTTCTCTGTCCTTTGATGCTCGCTGTGCTGCAGGTCGGACGTATCCGTGGGGGAACAAGTTCCAGACCAACAGAACCAACCTGTGGCAGGTGCAACAATAACATGATTGTTTATGTAGATTTCGCTAGAGTGGATTTAAAGGGGATAGTTTCTTTTTGATTTTTCTACAAAGTGGTCTGACAAGTTAATGTTGATGTATAAAAAACAAACAGATGCTGTCAAAGTTCTGTATGAACGGCAGTTTTCTCCTGTGTGTTTTAGGGTCAGTTTCCAGATGGAGACACTGCAGAGGATGGATATCATGGCATCTCACCTGTCACTGCGTTTCCTCCTCAGAACAGTTATGGTAATGAAGCCCTTATCTCATATAAAAAAAAAAAACAACAACTATGAGGCTAAAGCACAACTAAGAATGTTTTAAATGTTAAATCTTATAACTCCCCCCCACAGGACTCTATGACATGATGGGAAACACGTGGGAGTGGACGTCCACACCATTCCCAGCAGCTCGGCCCACGTACGTTCTGCGCGGCGCTTCCTGGATAGACACGGTGGACGGCTCGGCCAATCACAAGGCTCGAATCACAACCAGGTGACTTTTTTTTGTTGTTTTTTTTAGGTGGGCTTTGGGGGGACTCTCGTTTTGAGACTTCAGATCGGCTCTGAGACAGACTGAATGTTTTGGTTTGTGTCTTTCAGGATGGGGAACACACCAGACTCTGCCTCAGATAACCTGAGCTTCAGATGTGCTGCTGGTCTGGAACCGAAGCAGGCCAAGAAGAGCGACAAAGCTGAACTATAGCAGCTTTAATCAGCCCAATTAAAAGAAAATAAAGATAAATGATTGAAATGACTGAAGCATGCAATAAAAGCAAAGAAGGGCAGATCAAAGTGATGCAATAGAGAGGAACCGGACTTCTTTCCCTGTTTCTGGGAAAGAGTCCAACTGTTTTGTGTTGGAGAACTTAAGGACACCATGAGGGGGGACCGCAGGGAGTCTGAACACTTGTGGGGAAGCAGCTTAATCTCTCCTGTGGAGAAATTTCTTTTATACACAAATTCAACAAATAAATACCTTTTCAAAATGCTCTGCATCTCAGCATTAAGTTTGTCTGCAACCCAAAAACAACTCTTCTCCCGAACCAAAAAAATAAACTGATTTAATTCACTGAACAACAGAAAGAGGACACTCTAGCTCACAAAGAACCTCTTCACGCTGAGATCTCTTTGTTTATTAACGTGACTAGAGACCAAACTAGCGCTTTGGTTTAGTTGCTGGGACCCTAATCCCTTTACTCGCTCTTTTCTTACTTTTCCAAGTTTGTTGATCAGATTCATTCCGAGAAATGTTGTCTAGACTCCATTCTTGGTTTATGTAACAGGCTGTTTTCAGCTCACTCTGCAGCCATCCTAACAGATACAGAGATACTATAGAGGTAAAAAGAAATGGTACACAGCGTCTCTATGTAAGGAACAAACGGAATAAAAGCTAAACATGTAAACACCTCAAACAGAAAAAGACAAAGGGAATTTACTAATTCTGCCGTTAAACTAAAATGTAACCATGCTCCTCAGTTCCTGTCTGAAACTTCTCTGCAGACTTTCTGCTAAATGCAGCCGTGTGAACTTATCAGAATGTGAAACCACCAACCCTGAAACACGAGGGATCTCTTTTTTTCATCTGTCACATTTCTATTTTTGTTGGTTGAATGTTTGCCTTGTCGGTTTGCATCGGAGGTTAAACCGTTGTTCCAATGTGGAATGTTTCTGCCCAGTTAAAATATGACTGGAACAACTCACACAATTAGAACTCCCCCATTTTATTACCCTCTAACTGAGCTTATTGCTCAAAAGCTATAACTACCTAAGCTGTCCAAACAGTTGAGCATTAAACTTGAGTTGCTTAACGTTAAGTTGCGTCTCCACCCAACTAAACAGTTAAGAGCAAAAGTTTTAACACTTAGTTTGCCTGGAGCGCTGATTAAACCAGACAGGAGGCCAATGATGCATCCATGAAACACCTTTGACTTCTTATTGAGCTTCACTAACGAAAGAAAAGAGTTATGCTGGTGAAGATTCTCAGTCATCCAGGTCATAGTCATTCCAAAAGTTTAAGGAGTAAAAAAAAAAACAACAGCACTAGACTTTGTTTTCCAAGTTTGAAGATGTTTTGCTTCCCATCCAGGAAGCTTTCTCAATTCAAAACGTCTATCTGGTTCGATTAAGTTCAATTTGCATGTTTTCTAAGCCATAAAAAGGCTTTTGTTTGTTCCATTCTATAAGCCTGGAACTCGAACGCTACTCAAGACATTTTGAATTGAGAAAGCTTCCTGGATGGGAAGTGAAACGTCTTTTAACTTGGTAAAACAAATTCCACTGTTTTGTTTTTTTAACCTTGTTGGAAAGAAGTTAGGTGTGTCTGTTTTATAAACCTGAATGATGGCCGAACCCAAAGTCTTTCATTTGTATTAATCATGGTTCTCAACATTTACATGAAGACTCATCTGGGACCAGAGGTAGAAAAAGTACAAAAATATCATACTCAAGTAAAAGTACCAATACTTGGATGAAATATTACTCAAGTACAAGTAAAGTTATCCTTCATGAAAATTACTCAAGTAAAAGTAATAAGTAGCTAATTTAAAATGTATTTTAAGTAAAAGTTACTTAGTTACATAAAAAAAAAAACTGTTGAACGGGGCCTGTCAATGAATTCAAACTTTGTTTTTGTTTTTTTTGGAATGTTGGCGAGGCGGTACCGTGAGTTTGGCGAAGATAGTGCTGCGGGAAGCACCAACTTAAATGAAATACTTAGTTGTTTTTTTTAGCAATTTATTTTCCCAAGCCACTCAGAGTATAAGGTATAAGGATGAAAGAGCTGCATGCGGCTCCGGAGCCACGGGTTGCTGACGCCTGTGCTGGACAAAATTAGCAATGCCACAAAACAGGTTGTTTTGCTAATTGGCTATTAGTCATAAAAACTTTGTTTGAAGTACCAATGCACTAAATAATTACCAAAACATGCTTCCGCAGATTAGATGTGGAGTTATTGATTGAATGCTGCCAGTTCAGTCACCTTTGGCAGACACATCTGGCATTGCATGATGATACTGTTGGCCCTCTTGAATTTAAATGAAAAGCAGTCTTTCAAATGTGGCTAAGGATTTTCATCGTTTTGGGCAGCAGAATTCGATGTTTCAGCTAGCATTTCTAGTGAAATGTTCTCTGAACCGTCGTCGCTCTCCTGATCCACCTCCATCTCGTTCCCAATCTCCTACAGAAAGACTTGGAGCCTGGTAGCCTAGATCTACATGCTGATCACGTCACTCACTGAAGTGCTTCCGGGCCCGATTTTTTCTCTTCCATTCGGCTTTCCAAAGTTTTTTTTTTTTTACTCAGTAATGGATGGGATTTGTAATGTAACGAAATACAATACTTCACTCAAAACGTAATCAAGTAAAATATAAATTACAGATTTTAAAAACTACTTGAAAAATACAAAATACACAAAAACCTACTCAATACAGTAACTTGAGTAAATGTATTTCGTTACTTTCCACCTCTGTCTGGTGCTCATGAAAAGCCTCATGGAAGGCCCACCATAGATTTGATTTACATTACTGGATTATTCTCTAATAATTGTCACAAAAGAAATGTACTGGGGTAATGATAAATAATAATTTTAAATCTGTTTTAAACCACATTCACCTATAGCGACTTAAAACTCAAAATTTTAATATTCTGAAAGACCAGTTTTGCAGTTTAGATCAGAGATGATTGAATATGCACCGCACAGCACGCTCCCTCCTGAGGCTTTTCTGAGGTCAATAACTGCATCAGCATGGCATACCATGGAGACAGACAATCTGTAGGCCTGCTATGGTGTCAAGTAAGTCTAGTTTGTTGTAAAAATCAGATTCAGATCATCTCCAATGTTGGCTTCTTTTAATAATAGTTTGTCTGGAGTTTTAACATGGACGGATTAAGCACAGTGATATTTAGTTGAATGAGCTATGATGAAGTGGATTTATGGCTGCAATGACTCTGGATTTGGTTCTCAGCAGCAGCATCCAGACTCTGCATCCAGCTCCCTCTGAATCGGCTCCATCACTAAGCCAAATCTGTCTAAATCCAGTCTGAATACAGCGATGCTCAATAGATGTTTATGGAAATGACCATGGGACATTCTGTTTGTGATTGTAGAAGCTAATTTTAGTTGTTATGCTGCAGTAATCTGGAATAAAATTCCAGAAAACTCTTAAAAATGCTGAAGCTTCTTTAAATAATTAAGTTTCAGTCAACTTTCCTCCTATCATTGTCCTACCATTTCAATTACCCAGTTTTATTCTCTATGATTAATTATTTTATACTCATTAATTGATTACTTATGTATTTTATTTGTTAATTTTTTAAACCTTTTCACTTATTCTGTTATTTTTATAATAATATAATATAATATAATATAATATAATATAATATAATATAATATAATATAATATTTTCTAAGGTCCACATTTGTGTGACCCCTTTTGCTGTATCTTTTGCTGCTGTAACGCCACAATTTCCCCATTTTATGACAATAAAGGGATTTTCTATTCTATACTATTAGGCTTAACAGAAAATTCAAACTGGAATCATAATTGGTCTCCAACTCTCATCCAATCATCTATGATCAGCTGTGAACGCCTTTTGCCATGACCAATGGTCATCAGGACCTACTTTAAAGACTTTAAAGTGTTCCACAGCATCTCAGCATATTTTTTTTTTTTCATTTGGCTCTCTTCATCCTAATTCATCTGCACAGTTATATAATTTTCATCATCATCATCATCATCATCATCATCATCATCATCATCATCATCATCATCATCATCATCATCATCATCATCATCATCATCATCATCCTACATGCTAATGAATACAATCAAAGACTGACTGCCAAAGCGTATATTTTTTTACTTCAACAAAACTTTGATTGTTGTTTTCTTCTATTTAAATCTTTCCAGGTTGAATTTATGTGGATTAACTATTTAATTACCTTTATGCTGCTGCAATGTATTTATTTTATTTTTGCTTTATCTGATATAAAGCACTTCGGATTGTCTTATTACTGAATATGATCTAAATAAACTTGTTTTAAGTTACCTTATGGTTCCATGTCATATTTTAATAGCTGATTGTTTTTTTTTGTTTTGTTTTTTGTCTTAAATTATAAAACTGTTTTATCTTTTTTTTTTTTTTGGAAAAGAATAAAAAATTGATGAATAGATCGATTGATAGATCAAAAATAAAAAACAGTGGATTAACATCAGCAGATGATTTCCATCCCAAACTCCATTTACATGTATTTATTTTTATTTATTTGTTTATTTGTCATGGAAAGTACACATTAATGAACATTTCCGTAAATGTGTCAGTGTTAACTATTAACCCTTTATAGGGCACTCAGTGAAATCCTTTGAAAATCCACATTTCAAGCCAATAGTGTTATTGGAATCCAGGACAAGACCTTATTACCTTTGTAACATTTTGTTGGCAAAAATTAATGTCAGTGTAATAACAAGAAACACCAACTTACCCGAATATATTAAGAAAAATAACAAAAAATAAGAGCTTCTATAAGAAACACTTTTTTTTGATACAGCATAACCTTAGAGGCTTTAATGCTGATAGTAGCACTTACATTTTTTTAGTTTATAAATCTAAATATAATTGTTAACTAGTATTATTACGTTTTAAACTTTACTTTTTAACTTTTCAGTTAGCTTTTTCCCTTTTTCTCTTGACTTTTTAACTTTTTAATGAGCTTTTTCCCTTTTTCTCTTGACTTTTTAACTTTTTACCTTTTTTCAACTTAATTTGCAGTAGGTAATATATCATTCAAGGGTTCATCTAATTGGTCAAAGGCCAAAATAAGATTTACAGCCATGTCGCAGCATCTTTGCTGAATGGTTGGATATAGATCTTGTGCTTCTAGACTTCACTGAGGGACGGAGGGGTCTCCATTTGTAATGGGTATGCAAGTGATCAGAAATGGTAACTTGCACTATAAAGGGTGAAGCAAGTTTTCAACTTCTATCCCTGCACAAGGCGTATAATGCCAATAAAAAATACTTTATTAATCTAAAAGGGAAAATCAAAATCCTTCAAGTTATCTGCTTTTTTGTGCAACTAGTTGTTGCAGGTGTTGATAACTGTGGGCAGGAAGGATCTTCTGTATCGGTCTGTCTTGCACCGGATGGAGCCACTGATTGAAGACACTTTGTTGGCGTTTAACAATCTGAGTTGCATCACCACCTCCACTTACTCGTCATCGATGTTAATAGGATTCAGCTTGTTCCTGTTTCTTCTGAATTCTCAAAACATTTCTCTTGTTTGTTGATATTCAGGATCCGATGAGTGTTTCCACACCATGCCACAAAGCCGTTAACCAGCTCTCTGTCCTCAGCTTCTTGTCCATCTTTGATGCACCCAATGATTGCAGAGTCATCTGAGTATTTCTGCAGAGGACAGGACTCTCTCTGGTACTGGAAGTCAGATGTGTACAGAGTAAAAAGTACCGTCCCCTGTGGTGCTCCTGTGCTTCTAACTACATGATTAGACAGCTGACCCTGCAGTCTAACAAACTGTGGTCTGTTTGTCAGGTAGTCTTTGTCCAGGCGATTGTTGATGCCTCCACCTGAGTCTTCTGAAGTCTCTGTCAAAGCCAGTCAGGCTAAAATGTATTAAATTGACTGGAAAATCAAAGAGCATGTTCCTTACAGTGCTGTCTGCCTTTTCTAAATGACAGTGGGTTTGTTAAAGCAGGTGTATGATGACATCATCAACCCCAGCTTCACAGCGATAAGCAAACTGCAGGGGTTCTTGTTTGCTTGATCAGGCGCACCAGCAGATGTCCCTCATTTCTGATTGCAAAACTTCTCAAAGGACCTTTATTAACTGTGACTCACGGTGTCCTTCTCTACTTGGACCTTCTGAAAGGAATTTCCCACATCCAAAAGTCAGATTTTGAACCAATGAGCAAAAGTCTAATCTTCCTAAAACCTTGAAACAGTCCAAGGGTTCTAAATCTCCCCCAAACTCTCAAATGAATTTAATTTAAACTGACTTAAACTTGCACAAGGATGGCATTATCATCATAACCATTAATCCTAGTGTGTCTCTGTGGACGGCCATGCTGTTTAGTAATGACTTGTGTGGCTTATGTTCCTTAGTGCGCCACACTATGATGTCATTTTAAGAGTGGCAGCAGTCTAAACACGGCTGAATAGACTGTAACGAGTCAATTACAACTTTATTTTTTGTTTAGCCTTTATTACTCTGTGTGAAACCATGCTTCAGTCATTATGTGTTTTGAAATAAAAAAACGTTTTCTGTGATATTCTAATGTTTCCTAGTGTGTGTTTTCACTAGTTTAGATGTAGGTGGAGAAAATGAAAGTTTTATGACCTAATTTGAGAGGAAGGAAATGCATTGGTTTTGGCAAAGAGTTTTTTAAAGTGCCACGGCTATAAGTCTCCTTCTGCTTCATCATGAGACAAACAGGTCAATAACCACAATTATATAAATCATGTGCTTATTATAAAAGAATGGAAGTCTCATTTTAAACTGATTGAATCATTTCCATAGAAAGCTGTGAAAGCTAAATTTATCTCTGCATGTGTCTGCAGGAGGCTTCCACCACCATCGCCCTGCACTATAAATAACGACCATGTTATAGCTGGTGTTTTTCCCCAAAAACTTCCAAAACTAAAAATAAATCAATGACTAATCACCCATGTGGGTTTATGTGAAGCATTCATTTCCTTTGAGTACTTTATTCCAGTCATTGTGTCTTTCTATCAATCTTTTTTTATCTCTTGTTTGACTTTCAGCAGCAGTCAGGTGCGTCAGGCTCGGATGATTTCATTGTATCTGAGCATCAGAACCCACGCCTCTCTGTCTCTCTGCTGCTTCGGCGTGTTTGCACGTCATGTGCTCGTTTAGCAATCGAAAAGGAGGAAGAAAGGCTGCGTGAAGCCACAGCCTCCTGTGACATCACATCATGTCATGTTGGATCCTGTAAGGACGCACGGCATTCAGGTAGAACTGGTCTAGTCACATAGCTGCTGCCTTCCTCCCTCCTCCTTGGATTAAATCCTCTCCTTTTCATCTGTGTTTACATGTCACTGTGTCTTCAGATGGTCTAGCTGTTCCTAGCTCTTCTCTGGGACTCATCATGGACTACTCTCAGCCATTCTCGGTGCTCAATGAGCAGCTGAGACCTCGGCTGACCTCCAGCGAGCAGCTTCACTCTTCCCTCTGCAGGCTGGAGGACAGGAAGCTGGACTCCAGCTCCATGAGGACCAAATACATGTTGTACAGATCATCTATCCTACCGACAGAAACAGAACCACAGACCTCCATCAGCAACACAGAGGATGCAGATCAACATCAAACTAGCACAGAACAAGAAGGTTTGGGCTTCAGCAGCACAGAGGAGGGACTTTCCTCGGATCTGCTGCCTTACATCAACTCCTGCTTCAACAGAGATTTTAACATAAAGGACGAGGATGAAGACGGGCAGGCCAACGACAACAGCAGCATGACTCAGTCCGAGGAGACGGACAGCTCAGGTGAAATGGGCTCAGAGGAGGCAAGGGACTCCGTGAAGACAGGAGCCGGAGCCGAAGCGGGAGAGAGCCCCTTCCAGAGGTTCTACGCTGACAAGACCTTACCAGACCTGATCAGCACCGGCAGGCCGCTCGGCAGACGCAGGACGCTGACACATGTCTCAGATACGGTAAGATGCAAAGACTTTTAATGCCTCTAGAAGAAGGTGAAAACTGCTCCCTGATCAGACCAGTAAAACAGGGTGGAGACCATCTATGATATAACTAAGGAGTTAAACAAGAAATGAAGTAAACAACGACTCCTGCATAAGACTTATCATAGTGGTCTGAAGGCTTTAGAATAATGTATTTAATAATGAAAATATAAGAAAGATTTCTCAGGTAATAAAAGGTTTAGTCCTTCATAATTATCCTGTGTCTTCAGTCTATCTCTTTGGTTTCAGCTCTGAGTTTATGAACCTGTACAACTGGTTTCACCCCAGAATCTAGACTAGCAGTTTCTGCTTACATTAAGTCCAAAATGTTTCTTTTTGTGTTTAGGCTAGTTGTTATCTTCTTAGACACAAAAAAAAATACCTGCATTCACTGATAAAATGTTTAAAAAGAGTGTTGTTATGTTTTTCAATAGCTTAAAGAAGTACGTAGGGAGGTGGAGTTGTCCCGCAGGAGGAGCATCAAGCTTAAGGCTCAGGTGGACAAACTGCAGGGGAGCACTGATGGACCCGGCTGGAGCAAACACCGGGAGACGGTAATGGATATAAGCTAAGGCTGCTGGACACAGCATGAAACTACAAAGCTCTTCATGAAACTGGTTTGCTTTTTACTACAGGTCACAGATGAAGTTCTGTCAGTTCTGAGGCTGTTAAACCCACTGGTAGAGCCTGAATCCAGCAAACCTGAGCCCCGAGGGGGGGAGAACCGGCTGGACGCTGCGCTGGTGGAGCTGAAGAATGTGGCCAGACAGCTGGCAATCAGCCATACCAAGCAGGTGAGGGTCACACCCACCCTGGACCTTTTTTTTTTGTCACATTTTGTTAAATATTAACATTTCAATTCATTCTCCTTAAAGTTTTCCATCACTAAAAGCACATTTTAAACACGTTATTGTATAAACCCGTACTAATGAAAAATCCTTTTTCAAATGACAAAGCTAACTTAGTTTTAATGACTGAGACCTCAGTTCTGTCTTGTTACCGATTCTCGGTTGGACTTAGGTCTGCACTATGTGCATTTCCTGTGTAGCTCTGATAAAAAAAAAATTCCTCTAAAATGGAGGTCTTCAACAATATTTTCAATATTCCCCCCTGCAATTTTTTTCCACTAATTGAAATGTCTTTAAATCCACATTAACATGAATTCAACACACTGTAGTAAACAGATAAATGGAAGCAGAAGAGGTCTTTCAGTCATCAATGCACACATTCAGCGACACATGGGAGCTCTTTCAAGCTGGTCACCGTTTCATTCACAACACCTGTCCCATCAATGAGGAATCGGAATCAGAATCAGAAACATTTTAATAATCCCAGGGCGAAATTACATTACTCCATCTGTATTAGAGTGACTATAGGACCAGTTTGATAGAACACAATTTCATACAATATAATTAGGGGGTCCATGCTCCATCATGCCATGTTTGTGGGTCCTTAGCCTAGAAAACGTTGAAGACCTCTACTCTAAAGCATCTCGCTTTTTGCAGCTTCTAACAGGCTTTTTTCTTAGGATTGTCTCATTTAATCAATCCCTCTTTTTCTGAACGAAGCGAAAGCTTCCCCTCAGCATGATGCTGCCACCACTGTGCCATATAATAAGGATGGACTGTGCAGTGTTAGTTTTGAGCATATAAAATATCATTAATGTTTAATATTGTAGTCACCTACACCTGTCTCCCATTGAGGACTAAAGCATCCCCACAGCATGATGTTCTCACTGCCATGCTATGTGCTGCGTTTGGTAAACAGAGCAGCTTTTTCATTCTTTCCTCTCAAAGAAACTCGTTTCTACAGCACATTGTTGCCACATAAAATCTAAATAGAATACACGGGAAACCGTGAAAAGGTACAAAGGTAATAGTCATTTAGTTTCTGGTGATATCAGTCGATGGGCACGGCGCTCAGAAGAGTGTTTGCTTTGCTCATGCTTGTAGGACCTGGTTAGAGATGTGGAGAGTTATTTGCACAGGAAACTGCTTCTTCTTATCTTAGTTGCTTTCTTTGCGAAGCAGTCTTTGTAATCAGGTTTGTCATTCATTAATGGTTGAACAAACAGAATAGAAAATTGGGACCTAAGACTGACTGATTGACTGTAAAATAAACAAAACAAAAATACATATTTGCCTACTAACCCTCAAAACAGGCGATGACATTCAGCTTTTTTAAACGTTGGTTTCACTTTAAAAAAACATAATGCATCGCTGATCTTTTGTGGCTGAGAAACAAAGTTTTCACATCTTAAAATTTCCCCCTGAAGCTACTTCTGTCATTTGAAAGGCATCTGCTGTCTGATGAAGCATTGTTTCAGTGAGAACTCCACCCTGCGGGTTAAGCTTAGCTATGCTGCCTGACAAGTTTACTCGTGATGCTATCAGTGATTCCTTTCTCTCTGCGTCAGTTTTTGTTAAAAGGAGAAATTTAGGGAGCAATGTTCTGATTTTACCAATCAATACAACTTTAAATCAAACTGTCTTCATGCTTTAATTCATCCATCTTCTGATTCTTCCTTCAGGATTCTAAATCTTGGAAAAATGGAGCAGAAGAGAGCGCCGTCCTGCAGCAGGCTCTGAGGGACAGAGATGAGGCCATAGAGAAGTGAGTTCCCACACAAACTGTCACGCTGTCAAGATTTGAGGTGGAAAAAGGGAAGCCACAATTCTATTCTGAGGAATGATTCATTTGTTCTGCTTTGCTGCACAGGAAGAAGGCGATGGAAGGCGAGGTGCTGCGGAGTAAGACCGAGTTGATGGCGCTGAACAACCAGCTGCTGGAGGCCGCACAGAAACGTCTGGAGCTCTCACTGGAGCTCGAGGCCTGGAAGGTAAACGGCTCAGAGAAAGGGTGTGTTCTTTAGGTACACAGAGAACCAACGTCAACAGAGAGTAAAACATGCCAGTCACTAAGAAACACACACACTGACGCACATGATTATAATAAAACCCAAGCTGGGGCTCCAAGATAAATGATGAAAAACCAGCTCCAATTAAAATTATCTTCCATTATGAGGACTTTAAGTTCTTTAACAGCAGCTGGTATTTGGCCTCAGGGTTGCGTGTGGTTTTCACCAAGCTCTCTGCACCACGTGAGAAAAACACACTTTGTTTTGCAGCTTTTCTGACCTAGATAAAATCTGAGATTATTTTCTTTTTATTTTAAATAATATAATAAAATAATTACAACGGTACATTTTAACCCGATATGGGGAGATGTATTTTTTATAGGACGAAGGAATACCCCTTAGAATTTTTTTGTGACAAAACAAAAAAATATCAATGTAGTATATTGAACGCCAACACAAAATTTTGCAAATAGGTCGACAGTTAATTATCGACTCTACAAATCACCTCTCTGGTGGATAGTGGAAAAAACAAACACACAAAAAAAAATAAAGATACAACACAAAAAGAACCGTTTAGAAAGTTTTACAACCAGTATGGGAGACAGATGCTCTTGTCAGATAGGGTTGAACCTTTTGGCCTTTTATGCAAAAACAGAATAAGTGGCATGAGTGCACATGACATGAACATGCAATCCCTATAGTATAACATGATGTTGGCAGTGTCATGCTGTATGGAGGACGGACCATATATAAAAATAAATACGCTTTACGGTGGGGAAAAGCTATGTAAATTCGACGGATGCAGCAAAATGCTAACCAACCAATGGGCAGCAGTTGAGTCCTTAAGACACGCCCCTCATCATTTGCATAATGAGGCAGAAATGCATACAGAAATGTAAAAAGGGCAGGCAGAAATAAATAGGGTAAAAAAATACAAAGTAAGAATAAAACAGACAAAAATATTATAACATGCACATAAATAAATACTTAAAATATAAGTAATTAAAGAATAAAGTTGAAGATTATAAAGGACAAAAAAATAAAGAAGCTAATTAAAAGTTATATACATTTATGTTTCACTGTATAATTTAATTTCTACTTACATTTATTTGCATTTATTTATTTCTGTATTTATTTTTATATATGGCAGAGTCCGTCCTCCATAGTACAATGGGCAAAAGAACCCTAAACTTTAATCAGTAGAAACCTCTCATAACAATGCTTCAGTAAATAATTCATATATATTCTAGATTTTACATAGATAAACCTGAAAATTTTGAATCCATATTAATCTGGAAACATTTTTATTCACTCTACACTGTGACTAATTATCAGTGGTGGACCAAGTACTCAATTATAGCACTTAAGTAAAAATAATGATACTACAAGTAAAAATTACCCGGTAAAATATCTATTCAAGTTAAAGTATTAAAGTACTTACTTTTGCAAGTATTTAAATACTCAAAAATAAAAATACAACTTTCTAACATCACTACATCCATCCATCAATTTTCCATCACACTTATCCGAGCATGGATAAGCATGTATAATGGCACTTCTTTATTATTTTCCGAGTAATTTTAATGAACCTTGTAACTTTCAGAAACTACCTGATTTATTCATGAGTAGAGCCACTGCTACAAATTCTACTCCACCTATAAAGAACTTCTGCATAAAAATGCCAAAAAATATAACAACAGCTTTTTTAATTATTTATTTATATATTATTTATTTAATTACTCATTTATTTCATCATTATTTATATTATGTATTTATTATTTATTTAAAAATAACCCAAATAGAAAGGTGTAGGTCACTATTCCATAGTGACTTTCACTATGGAATAGAGGTTTAAGGTTGAATCTGTTGCCACAAAGAAACTAAAGCTCTGATTTGAGAACTTATCCTACTGAACAACTTGGCCACATCGCAACTAATTTATAAACTAGAAATAATATAATCCCTGAGTTTCTCACATCTGTGGAATGACACGCATATCTCTAAAACAGTTGTGTCCTAATTCAGTCCTAATGGCTGCTATCTTTCATGTTGAAATTGCATTAAAAAGAAAAACAGTAACAGTGGATAAAAAGCTGAGCCAAATTTAACTAGCAGCTTCCTCGAAATGTAGTTGAGTAAAAAATTACAATATTTGACTGAAATGTAGTGGAGTGAGTTATATGTATCCCCCTTAAAAAAATGATGCAACTAAAGATGCTTAAAAAAGGACTTAGGTACAGTAATCGAGGAAATCTACCAACTTTTCCACTAGCAGTGATCATAAATTTTGTAAATTGCACTGAAAGCAGGCAGATGAAGGATAAATGTGAAGTAAAACAGTCTTAAAATCTAAGAAGATTATTTTATGCCTCTCCTCAGGAGGACTTTCAGCGTCTCCTCCAGCAGCAGGTGATGAGTCAGCAGATGGCAGAGCAGCAGGCCCAGAATAAGTCAACTCGGAAAGGCCTCCTGAGGCGAAACAAACAGCCTCCCATCCAGCGGCCGACAAACTTCACATTCGGATCACCCGCACCTCCTACCACCAACTCCAACCAGATCTTTGTGAACAAGCCTGCCAACCCTTCTGCACCGGCTCCCAGCATGGCCTCTCCTCCTGCTGCTGCCTCCGCTGGAACTCGCACCTGGAGGGACAAGTTGAAGAAGACCAGGCCTCGCTTCCCGTATCAGGACGGAGCCGAGCAGGAGAAGGAGTGGGGCAGAGGAGACGATGGCTTTCAGGTGGTTTGCCTCGACTGAAACCATCACAGGACATCCAGCACACTGGAGCTTTCCAGAGACTCACACAAATAATAATAATGCTGCTTATTGTGAGGATGTTTGAAGGGTCAGAATGATGGCAGTCCACACTACAAAAACAATCTAGAAAAAATAAGTAGAAATGTTTTAAATTAAATGTATTTACCCTTAATTTTAGTAAGTAAATAAGATGAAATTTGCCAATGGAATAAGTATTTTTCCCATTAAAATTAGATAATTAGATATTCTGGACTTGAAATAAGAAAATGCAATTGTTTTTTTCTTATTTTAAATGTAAATTGTCTTTTTCCATTGGCAAAGTGTCTCATTTATCTACTAAATTCAAGAAAAAAATGCACTTATTTTAAGAAAAAAATGACTTATTTAGATTTTTTGCAGTGCAGTTTGATGCCAGAAACCCAGAATCTGCAGAGCTTGTAGTTTTGCTCTCGGTCTACAAACTTTTCTATAACAGAGAAATGTCTTTGTTTACCAGAGGCAGGAAAACAGGGAACAAATTTCTTTCTGGAATTTCTTGCTTTATGCAAATCATGTGCAGAACTCCTAGAAAGTATTTGCAGATCTTCTACTGCAGCAAACCACCTTCATGGTTTTCTGATACCAAACAGGACATTGTTCTGCTTGTGTCTTTCTGTTCTTGAAGCTCTAGGATAGAAAACAATTTTTCTTAGTGCCAAAGTTCTTCTTCTGCCCCTCGGCAGAAGATTCATGTCCACTGTTTGGACTAGAGATGCACCGATCTGGATGATGTGGTTTTATAAAGCTTTTACCTGCCAGGACTGATTTAAATGGCTTTATTTGTCTTTACTGCAGAGCACTATTTATTTTTTTTAGGTCAGACTTGAAATCTGAAACTCATATCCAATCAGGGAGAGCTTGAAAAAGCTGTTGTAGGGATTTTAAATTCCTAATTTGGAATCAAAACCCTAATCAACATGTCTTTTCAGGTATTTTACACCTAAAAGCAACAGTTAATTGGTGTATATTTTATAGCCCTTTCTCTTAAAACTCATTAGAAATATTAAAAAAGTTTCAGATATTTTGACAGTGTTGATTTAACAGCTGTCATTTTGAACATTATAAATATTACCATCTATAGCCTCACTTATTGGTGTTAGAAATACATCCTTCGTCTAAGAGTGTTCATATGTTTTAAATTTTTTTTTTTATATAGTAAGAGCCATTTTAATCTACATGCATAAACAGCAAGGCTCTCGGTCTGTTTGCCTCTTAGGTTTAATCCCCTATTTTATGACCGTCTATTACTCCCATGTTAATCTCTGTACATCAACAGATCAATGAGAGATGGTTTTTCTGAAAAGTTTATTAATTTTTATTCATTATGGAGACAACTTTTACTAAAAAGGACAAAAGCAATTGGACATTATTTCCAATGCTTGTGGTTCTGATCCTAGTTGAATTTTATTAAATTTTTTTGTTTTAAGTAACTTGGCTCACTCAGGAGACAATGAGCAAATTTTTAGGTACTATAAATAATTTCTTGCTAATTTAGTAAAAAAAATGGGTTCATTATAATGCAAGAATGGGAGGAAACTTTCCAAGGCAGACTTCTTGGTTTTTGGACCCCAAATAGTCAGATATGAAAGACTAAAATCAGCTGAACTAGCAGCTTCCCTCAGTTAAAACTGTCCTGTTTCTGTCATCTTCTTTAAATCATCTTCCCTCAGCAACAGCGTGCACATCGAAAATTGTTGTTTGCACTACTTATTATCCCTTATTTACAGTATGATCAGAGAACAGGAAAGGATTGGATTCCTGAATTTATGCCAAACGCTTGTTTTACTCCAGATTTCCTGGTGCATCTCTGGCCGACACCCTCGGAACACAAAGGCACAGTATTTTTATCCATATATTAAAGTTACTGTTGCGAGCATTCAAAGCATCTTGGATCAACAACCTTTTGATGTGTAAAAGATTACTCAATATAAATGGGTCCTCAACATGTAAATAAAAAAAGTACCACAAATACTGTTCTTTGGTGTAAATAAAAGTCACTGAAAAACTCAGAGGTTTTAGATTTTTTTATTGTATAATATATCCAACTATATATATATATATGTATATATATATATTATTCACTTCTATATGGATCTCAAGAACATTTAAAATGTATATACTTTTATTAACCAGTAGAAGTGCCTCCACGGTGGGAACAAAGATGAAGGAAAGGTAACAGCTGGAAACCAGAGGAAAAAGGCATGCTCTTAGTGTCAGAGAACTACAGTACTGAACAGATCATTACAGTCTTCAAACAAACCCACGATGGCAAACAAAACCTGCCTTCAAACATTACATGCTCCACCCCTCCCCAGACAATCTTATGAAATGTGCCTCACGCTAATCCGTCCCGCAGGAGGAGCATTTAAGGGCTGAGCTGTAATAAAATAATTTTAACGAATATAATTTGACCACTGAAGGCCTTTTTTTCCCCCCTTGTTCTATACTCAAAACATAAAACATTGATTGTAGTAAACATTTAGTGCTTTAAATGTTAATTCATACAGATCTGGCAACCCAGCTGCCATCTAAAAGTCTACAGGACATCATAGATTCAAAGTTTCTTATTAAAGATTTACAGAAATAAAAGACCTCTGGACAAAAGAGGCACACGGACAAAAAACACCCTGCTTATTCACACGTGGCAGTTTCACTACTGGACCAAAGTCACCGACCCCGAGGAGACTGAAAATATATCAACACCACTATGATTGGGTACTTAGATACTTTGCTGCAGCATATATCTGTGATATACTCACAAAGCTTTGTGCCTTATTCTTAAATATAGCTGGAATACACAGGTAAATAGGGAAAAAACACTGATAGGACTCAACATGTACAAAGACACGACGTTACCACGGCTTGCTGCCAGACACAAACCAAACATGAAGGTATGTAAGACCGAGTGTTTCTGCTTGTATCCTGAGAGGATCAGGGAACAGTTAAGAGTTAATACTGCATTGGAAAATATCCGCTTCAAATCCTGTACATAAACATGTTGGCATAAAAATATAACCAGCATAATATAATCAGTAGGGATTGCCTTAATGACAAACTGACCAACTTTCAACTGAGCACAAACTTTCTGAATAAAACTGTTACAGACCGTTAAATAATATCCCACCGCAAACTTACATTTCTGAACCCATTGCCTCCTTAGATATAAACTTTTTTACTTTTTTTCTACAATCCTGATATAAATACAGTGGCTCTCAGAACTGTACACACCTCTGTTAAAATCCATCTTCACTTTCTACACTTTTTAATGCAATATTTGAATAATAATGTAATAATACTACAGTGTGCATACTATTGAACCCTTTGAAACATTTTAATTAGATTTAAACATTCAGTCCACTTTAGCTCATCAATAACAGTAAAACCAGTAAACCTGAACTACAGCTCGGCTGCCCTACTTTGGGTTCTGTTACAGTTGCCTCCATTAGCGAACAGAACTGTTTCTAGTCAGCAGGTAGATAAAGTTCAGAAAGGTTGGTAAGATCTTTCCTTGTTGAAAAACAAAAATGCTAAGCTGTAGCTTTTGTAGTGAGGCAAAGGGAGGAGGTGACAGACAACAGAGACGATACAACACTTCTCTTCAAAAAAACAAACTGGAAACTTAAACGTGCATGAGGCTGCCAAGAGTCTAACAGCAGAACTACATTTCTGACAAACACTGCATCCCCTGTATGTCTGGGCCAAGGATGATAGTTGGGAAAAAAAAAAAAGAAATATCTCCTGATAAAATGTTCTGTGGTTTAAAGATGCCAAACAAAAACAAAAAATAGGCCAGAATTTCATAGATGAATTTGGCACAAAGCAACATGACTACAGTGAAACACGGCAGTGGCTGTGTCATGCTGTGGGTGCTACTTCTCTTCAGATTGATACGATTATGGAGGGATTAAAGCCTAAGTGTTACACTGGGTCCAAAAATATGACTTCAAATGGTTGAAAAACAGGATTTTGGCTTTTAAAATCTGTGGAGTCATCTAAAAACAGAGAGCTGTAAATGAGATACGTAAACTCAAGGAGGAAGTTTTGTAAAACAAAATTGGGAAAATATTTTCATGTCAGGAAGTGGTTTAGGCAGACTGTTACTAAAGTGGATTAAAAGCTAAAATAAAATTGAAAGCTGCTTCAATTTATTCGAAAATATTTTTTTTTTATCCTCTGAATAGGGATTCTTTTACTGGATGCATCATAAAATTCATTATCTTATGGCTTTCTAACAGGGTTGTGTATGTTTTGAGATCTACTATATCCAAACACAAAGAAAGTACAGTGCAAAGGAGAGTTTCTTTGGATTAGTACATTACCTCCGAAAATAGCCCCATGATGCTAAACTAAAAATCAACTCAAACATGTCAACAAGCTGAAGAATCTACAACCACTAAGTGTCTGGGAGAATAAATTAAAGTCATCTACACTACAACCACTGATAGGGTTAAAAAGGTAAAACTGGCTGCAGCAGGAGAGTGGGTTTGGTCCTGCGTTGGCGAACGTTAGGATCGTTATGGACTCCACTCCGCGCTCAGAAGGGCTGAGCGTTAACAAGGAAAGTCTGCAGGCTTGGCTTGGAGGCAGCTAAGACTGGAGGAAGGAGATGATGGAGCTGATGAAATCTAGAGGCTTGTCTGCGTGGATCCAGTGGCTAGCATCTGGGATGTACTGGATGTCGGCGTTGGGGAACAGCCTTTGGATTTCTGGGTAATCGTCAGAGCTGGGATGTAGATGCAAAGAGAGAGGGATGAGATCAAAAAACAGATGGGATCCTGTCAATAGGCTAAACATTGGATGTTCACCAGGAGTGTAGCTCAGTTAGGAACGGCTGCAGCATGAAAACAAAAGATTAGTTTCCGTCATTAAGTTCATAAGAGAACCTGCCGGAGTTACCACACATTTTCTAAGCCGTCAGAACAAGGGGTGTGGTAAAAAAAAAAACAGATTTGGCAATATATAGTGATATTCAGCTGCTCAATATAATATCCAGGGGTTGACGTTAAGGATTTTTACCATTTGCCCAAAGGGCAAGTGACTTTCACATTTCATTTGCCCGATCGGCAATGGTTAACATCGAGCCCCGATATCGATCTTTCAGTTTCTAATATCAATTTTCAGAAAAAAACATTTTTACCTCAAACAATGAGGGAAAAATTGACTACCTCTGCACCGCCGCTCTGGTAGATGGCTCTTGGAGAGTTTATACAGAACAGCACATCACCATCTTTGTAGTAGAGGCAATCGCAGCGAAACACGGGAAGCGACTCAAACTACATAGATTCTGTCAACATATACAGCATTTACTTTTCATTTTGATAGCTGGGTAAAATATTACAATATATGGTAATGTTGCAATATTTAGATAATATTGAATCGTGACCCAAGTATCGTATCACAACACCCATGCCAATACTCAAGCCTAGTCAGAACAGATGACTAGAGCAGAATTTAAACAATTATGACAGTAATTATCAAAATAAAGAACAATAGCAGATGTAATGTAATTTTGGTTTTCATGCTATATGGCTTTGTTTAAATACAGAATAAAAACATTTGATTTTACTCAAAAGGACCATAAGATGAGAATCCCACAATGGCTACTTTACATTTTATCGAGTAATGTTACAAGCTTACTGTAATACTTAAACTATTAATTTAGTTGCATCAGTACAATATCGAGATAAAAATATAAAATGTTATATCATTTTATATAATATAGTATTTTCAGCAAAAGCGATGGCAAAGGAAGCTCAAAGAGTTGGTATTTTGACTTTTCTGATGTTTTTGGATGAGTTTTTGTTGTTTTGTTTTTTTTATTCGAGTTTTGCTAATGATCTAAACAAAAGTTAAAAAAAATATATCCTGGATAAATCAAAGTTATGATTATAAATCCAGGAATTTTGGAAGTATGATAAATTAACCCAAGCTTACACATATGAAGAGCAGATCTGTGTTAGACCTCTGCAGGGCCAATAATCAACAGGAAACATTTGAAACACTGGCTAAAATAAATTAGGTCTTATTTCATTTTAAGGAGCAAAATGCTAACTGTGTATTACTAAAGTATAACACTGCACTCCATGTTTATTCATTTTCTTTCCTGGGGAAGTGCAAATATCCTTAAAATGAATGTCTGTTGCTGCAGGTTTCTAAGACAAACTTTAAGTAGTTATCTACTTGCCGCCATTTACTAAGTAATCTTGAACTGTAGAGTGAGATGTTACTGAAATTAAATATTTATATATTTATTCTAAGGCTTGATTTATATCTGTAGCATTGGGGACATAGCTATGGTCACAGCAGCAAATTTCCTCTCATAACAAGCTTAAACTCCCCCATGAGGCATGATTACACATTCTAAAATCCTGAGGTTTAACAATCTAAAACATAAACATGTCGTGTTTTCTACCTGATATAAGCAGAGCTGGCCCCACCCAGAAACAGCGTTGGTCCCTCATAGACAGAGTCAAGGCTGGGGAAACTCATGATTTCATCAAGGTGAGCAGCAATGGCCTCCAGGTTGACCCTCCAGGAGTAATGTCCGTTCTCCTCCACCAAGTTGGTCAGCAGGAACTGACGCACAGAGTGCTCCTAGAGGAGGACCGCCAGCTTACAGTTTCAACATATTCCAAATACTGAAGAAAGTTCAATAAAAGTAGTCCTGACCTTCACTAAACTTCGGAGCTGATCCTCAGCCATCCGTCTGGCAGTGGACCTGGGGATGTCGGTGGAGATCTTCATCTCCTGCATAGCCTGGATATAGTAGCGGAAGTTTGTACGTGTGGTGGTCTGGGCTGGACTGATGTCCACGACCACCAACCGCTCCACTAAGCTCGGCTACAGACAAAAGGAAAGACAGAACAAAGTGGTAAACGGGGAAATAAAACAAGTTCAAGACACAGTTATATTAGAAATATAGTCTTAAAGCTCTAAATTTCAACTTTGATTGGAGAAAGCTCATTACTGTTGTAGGTTTATTACTTTTAAGAGTACTACTTCTATGAGAAGTTATTTCTGGTCAGTGAATGCATCATAATCAGACACAACTCTCTCTGAAAGGCCATAAAAAAGATAGGAAATGAGTCTAGCGTCTTTAGTAGAATAATGAAATTGACACTGATGCTAAAGGGTTAACCTCTCTGTAAATTTTATAGTTTTTTATTAAGATGAGTGTGTTAAGAATAATTACCGTAATATTCTGATGATAAGCCGCTACTTTTTTTACAAGCTTTGAACCCTGCGTCTTAGAATCCAGTGCTGCTTTTCTATGAACAACGATTGTTGTGATAACGTAGGAGGATTTGTTTTGGTTTGTTCCGCTGTTGTACGGCACTACTTTTCCTGGCGGAAGGGCATGTGATCAGACACACAGTATCTATAGAAAGGAGTGTTATGTTGGTTACATGTCCTACTGCCTGGCAAAGTAGTGCTGTACAATTTAGCACAAAAAAAGAACCAACTGCAGCCACATCAGCGTGAATGGTGCGTTCAACGTATCACTACGCTTTCAGTGGGAGGCGTGGATGATGAGTGGCGTTAAATCACTCACCAAAACTGGTGGAATGTGAAAAGCAAGTTTTGCCTCAGTCAGCCAGTGGATTCTAATAGCATGTATTTTTTTTCATGTGTGCTGTAAATTTACCCGTTTAAAAAGCAAAGTACTCGCAATTACTGGTAGTTAGACATATACGTAAAAAGTTATGCAAATATGTAGTGGTAGCTTGTTTTTTAAACTATTAATAAAAGGGATGTGTTCCCAAAAAGCCATATCTTTCCTATAAATCCCCTTTGTGCTTATTCTCTTAGATATGGTAATTAAACATTAAAATACCTGCAGCTTTTAGTCAGGTGTTGGTAATGTATGAAGAAAATAGGATTTTCCTCTAATTTTAGCTTGTGAGTCTAATATTCAGGTGCTCCTTGTAGTCCAGAAAATATGGTAGTTATAGTTTTTCCTTCAGGCTAAATTCAATTCTCTGCTTATTATTCGTTTATGATTATTATTAAACTAAACTGCTTTTAAAATGGTCCTTTCTCTAATTGAAGGAGCGTTAAACTTCAGGGTGTATGAATAATCGGCCATCGAAATGGAAAATATTTGACAGTGTTTTCATATTACTAATTGTATTCAAATNTACAAAACAACAAAGATGGCGCCGGCAACGCTTGTGGGTCGTTTTCAGCGAATGTCGGTGATTTTAAAGTAATTTTGAGTGATAAATAATTTTTTTTTGCGATCATTGCACATGCCCGGCGGGCAAATGCAATGTAATTTGTACTCTCCCGACAATAAAAACTTGCCCCGGGCGATCTGGCGATGGTTAACATCGAGCCCCGATATCGATCTTTCAGTTTCTAATATCGATTTTCAGAAAAAAAACATTTTTACCTCAAACAATGAGGGAAAAATTGACTACCTCTGCACCGTCGCTCTGGTAGATGGCTCTTGGAGAGTTTATACACTACAGCACATCACCATCTTTGTAGTCGAGGCAATCGCAGTGAAACACGTGAACCGACTCAAACCCCAAACTACATAGATTCTGTCAACATATACAGCACTTACTTTTCTTATGATAGCTGGGTAAAATATTACAATATATGGTAATGTTGCAATATTTAGATAATATTGAATCGTGACCCAAGTATCGTATCACAACGCCCATGCCAATACTCAAGCCTAGTCAGAACAGATGACTAGAGCAGAATTTAAACAATTATGACAGTAATTATCAAAATAAAGAACAATAGCAGATGTAATGTAATTTTGGTTTTCATGCTATATGGCTTTGTTTAAATACAGAATAAAAACATTTGATTTTACTCAAAAGGACCATAAGATGAGAATCCCACAAAGGCTACTTTACATTTTATCGAGTAATGTTACAAGCTTACTGTAATACCTAAACTATTAATTTAATATGCATCAGTACAATATCGAGATAAAAATATAAAATGTTATATCATTTTATATAATATAGTATTTTCAGCAAAAGCGATGGCAAAGGAAGCTCAAAGAGTTGGTATTTTGACTTTTCTGATGTTTTTGGATGAGTTTTTGTTGTTTTGTTTTTTTTATTCGAGTTTTGCTAATGATCTAAACAAAAGTTAAAAAAAATATATCCTGGATAAATCAAAGTTATGATTATAAATCCAGGAATTTTGGAAGTATGATAAATTAACCCAAGCTTACACATATGAAGAGCAGATCTGTGTTAGACCTCTGCAGGGCCAATAATCAACAGGAAACATTTGAAACACTGGCTAAAATAAATTAGGTCTTATTTCATTTTAAGGAGCAAAATGCTAACTGTGTATTACTAAAGTATAACACTGCACTCCATGTTTATTCATTTTCTTTCCTGGGGAAGTGCAAATATCCTTAAAATGAATGTCTGTTGCTGCAGGTTTCTAAGACAAACTTTAAGTAGTTATCTACTTGCCGCCATTTACTAAGTAATCTTGAACTGTAGAGTGAGATGTTACTGAAATTAAATATTTATATATTTATTCTAAGGCTTGATTTATATCTGTAGCATTGGGGACATAGCTATGGTCACAGCAGCAAATTTCCTCTCATAACAAGCTTAAACTCCCCCATGAGGCATGATTACACATTCTAAAATCCTGAGGTTTAACAATCTAAAACATAAACATGTCGTGTTTTCTACCTGATATAAGCAGAGCTGGCCCCGCCCAGAAACAGCGTTGGTCCCTCATAGACAGAGTCAAGGCTGGGGAAACTCATGATTTCATCAAGGTGAGCAGCAATGGCCTCCAGGTTGACCCTCCAGGAGTAATGTCCGTTCTCCTCCACCAAGTTGGTCAGCAGGAACTGACGCACAGAGTGCTCCTAGAGGAGGACCGCCAGCTTACAGTTTCAACATATTCCAAATACTGAAGAAAGTTCAATAAAAGTAGTCCTGACCTTCACTAAACTTCGGAGCTGATCCTCAGCCATCCGTCTGGCAGTGGACCTGGGGATGTCGGTGGAGATCTTCATCTCCTGCATAGCCTGGATATAGTAGCGGAAGTTTGTACGTGTGGTGGTCTGGGCTGGACTGATGTCCACGACCACCAACCGCTCCACTAAGCTCGGCTACAGACAAAAGGAAAGACAGAACAAAGTGGTAAACGGGGAAATAAAACAAGTTCAAGACACAGTTATATTAGAAATATAGTCTTAAAGCTCTAAATTTCAACTTTGATTGGAGAAAGCTCATTACTGTTGTAGGTTTATTACTTTTAAGAGTACTACTTCTATGAGAAGTTATTTCTGGTCAGTGAATGCATCATAATCAGACACAACTCTCTCTGAAAGGCCATAAAAAAGATAGGAAATGAGTCTAGCGTCTTTAGTAGAATAATGAAATTGACACTGATGCTAAAGGGTTAACCTCTCTGTAAATTTTATAGTTTTTTATTAAGATGAGTGTGTTAAGAATAATTACCGTAATATTCTGATGATAAGCCGCTACTTTTTTTACAAGCTTTGAACCCTGCGTCTTAGAATCCAGTGCTGCTTTTCTATGAACAACGATTGTTGTGATAACGTAGGAGGATTTGTTTTGGTTTGTTCCGCTGTTGTACGGCACTACTTTTTCTGGCGGAAGGGCATGTGATCAGACACACAGTATCTATAGAAAGGAGTGTTATGTTGGTTACATGTCCTACTGCCTGGCAAAGTAGTGCTGTACAATTTAGCACAAAAAAAGAACCAACTGCAGCCACATCAGCGTGAATGGTGCGTTCAACGTATCACTACGCTTTCAGTGGGAGGCGTGGATGATGAGTGGCGTTAAATCACTCACCAAAACTGGTGGAATGTGAAAAGCAAGTTTTGCCTCAGTCAGCCAGTGGATTCTAATAGCATGTATTTTTTTTCATGTGTGCTGTAAATTTACCCGTTTAAAAAGCAAAGTACTCGCAATTACTGGTAGTTAGACATATACGTAAAAAGTTATGCAAATATGTAGTGGTAGCTTGTTTTTTAAACTATTAATAAAAGGGATGTGTTCCCAAAAAGCCATATCTTTCCTATAAATCCCCTTTGTGCTTATTCTCTTAGATATGGTAATTAAACATTAAAATACCTGCAGCTTTTAGTCAGGTGTTGGTAATGTATGAAGAAAATAGGATTTTCCTCTAATTTTAGCTTGTGAGTCTAATATTCAGGTGCTCCTTGTAGTCCAGAAAATATGGTAGTTATAGTTTTTCCTTCAGGCTAAATTCAATTCTCTGCTTATTATTCGTTTATGATTATTATTAAACTAAACTGCTTTTAAAATGGTCCTTTCTCTAATTGAAGGAGCGTTAAACTTCAGGGTGTATGAATAATCGGCCATCGAAATGGAAAATATTTGACAGTGTTTTCATATTACTAATTGTATTCAAATGAAGAACTTCAACAGTTTTTGTTCTTCTAGACATTAAGCTACAGCCCTCAATTAATATGAGGCTATGTTTGTGTTTTTTTCCTAAATGCAATGTTCTGATAAAACAAACTCCAGCCTTCTAACCAGCTTCACTAATGATGATTTATTGGAGCTAAAAATATATTTTTAACAAAAACAACAACTAAATGAAGTATTAAAAGTCAAATAAGTCAATCCACCTGTATATAAGCCATCCTGATTGTACCTATGTCACCTCAAACCTCTGTTACTCCCTTGTACTTTTTTTTATTCCTAATGCACCTTTTCCTCCTTGTTTGCACCTTCTTTAAGTACTATGCCAATATGTGACCAGTGAATTTCTCCGCTGTGAGATCAATAAAGCTCATCTAATCTAATCTTAAGTCAAAAAGAAACATTAAAGTTAATTCAAATGTAAACTTTGATGTAAAAATGCCAGAATCATCAAGTCATGTAAAAATGCTCCAGTTTCAAAATTAAAGGCGTGTTATAAAGGTTAGCAAAGATGGCAGGACTGTAAAGTGAGGAAAACTCTCCACCTCATTAAATATACCATCATAGTGACTCCAGGCTGACATTAAGGAATCGCCCACCTGTGTCAGAGCTGTTGTCATGGCGGTTTTTCCCCCCATGCTGTGGCCGACGAGGACGCACTTTTCGATGTGCAGCTGGCCGAGGAGGTGTTTCAAATCAGCAACCATCACTTCGTAGGTCAGCTCAGGGGTGTGGGGGCTGTTTCCGTGGTTACGAGCATCTACAGTCAACACCTGACTGGACAAAGGACAGGTAAGACACTTGGAATGGAGGAAAAGGAAGCAGCAGAGCGAATCTTCTCAGCTCAGCCAAAGCCTGACGTCACAAACAATGGAGACGTTGTGACAAATTTATTCAAGTCATGCCAGAAAGGTATCGTTTATCAGCTTAAAGGCTCTTATCAAGTAACCTTTTATTTTTCTCTACAATGGGCTATTGACAGACTGCTGTGAACAAATGCAAGCGAACAATGATGAACTGTTTCAGACACAATAAACAGGTGAGAAATCTTCAGCGGTGCTTTACCTTTCGGCCGGTGCGTTGCACCAAGGACTTGGCTATTGAATGGAAGTTGGATTTACTGCCGAAGAGGCCGTGCAAAAACACCAGAGGCGTGCTCTCCCCCTTACCGTCAAAGACATCGTAGGTCAAGTTGACAGGACTGAAAGGAAAGAAAAACAAGCTTAAGTTGAAGAGGCCACAAATCCTTGAAAGAAAACTTAAAATTGACATTTTAAATTCAACTCAATTCAAAAACATATATAAACATATATTAGGGCTGCAGGTAACGATTATTTTGCAGATCGATTAATCTGCTGACTATTTTTCCAATTAATCAATTAATAATAGGATAGCTAAAGGTTCCTTAAAG